ATTGCCAACAAGGGTTTTACCACTAAGTACTAAGTCATGTTTTGCAGACGGGTCAAATAATAATATAATATGCCATTTAGCAGACGCTTTTATCCAAAGCGACTTACAGTCATGCGTGCATACATTATTTATTTTTTTGTGTATGGGTGGTCCCGGGGATCGAACCCACTACCTTGGCGTTACAAGCGCCGTGCTCTACCAGCTGAGCTACAGAGGACTTATTTCCTTCATTATGCAAATCAATTTATAACATTTTTGACATGCGTTTTTCTGGATTTTGTTGTTGTTATTCTGTCTCTCACTGTTCAAATAAACCTACCATTAAAATTATAGACTGATAATTTCTTTGTTATTGGGCAAACGTACGATATCAGCAGGGGATCAAATACTTTTTTCCCTCACTGTATACTGTACCTGTCTACTGAGAGAGACCCCCTGTTAGATATACTGTACCTCCTCACAGATCATCACTTATATACATCCACACTGCCACCTCCCAAGCTCCTAACCAAGCCCACATCAAACCACCCCTCCGTCCAGTACTAAAATCCTTTTATGTTTTTACATTTCAGTGAGGATGAAGAGCCTGAGGAGCAGAGTCCACAGGTGTCCCTGGTCACGGTTCAGAAACAGTAAGCCACCTCTTTATCAAAGTCTCTGTTAAAGCATCAAACGCACACACACCACTGCACTGAATCACTCCTCACACCCACCCTCAGCCTCTTTCTATATCCTCCATCAGTAACACCCTCAGCCTCTTTCTATATCCTCCATCAGTAACACCCTCAGCCTCTTTCTATATCCTCCATCAGTAACACCCTCAGCCTCTTTCTATATCCTCCATCAGTAACACCCTCAGCCCCTTTATGTCCTCCATCAGTAAACACCCTCAGCCTCTTTCTATATCCTCCATCAGTAACACCCTCAGCCTCTTTCTATATCCTCCATCAGTAACACCCTCAGCCCCTTTATGTCCTCCATCAGTAACACCCTCAGCCTCTTTCTATATCCTCCATCAGTAACACCCTCAGCCTCTTTCTATATACCTCCATCAGTAAACACCTTCAGCCTCTTTCTATATCCTCCATCAGTAACCACCCTCAGCCTCTTTCTATATCCTCCATCAGTAACACCATCAGCCTCTTTCTATATCCTCCATCAGTAACACCCTCAGCCCTCTTTCTATATCCTCCATCAGTAACACCCTCAGCCTCTTTCTATATCCTCCATCAGTAACACCCTCAGCCTCTTTCTATATCCTCCATCAGTAACACCCTCAGCCCCTTTATATCCTCCATCAGTAACACCCTCAGCCTCTTTCTATATCCTCCATCAGTAACACCCTCAGCCCCTTTATGTCCTCCATCAGTAACACCCTCAGCCTCTTTCTATATCCTCCATCAGTAACACCCTCAGCCTCTTTCTATATCCTCCATCAGTAACACCCTCAGCCTCTTTCTATATCCTCCATCAGTAACACCCTCAGCCCCTTTATGTCCTCCATCAGTAACACCCTCAGCCTCTTTCTATATCCTCCATCAGTAACACCCTCAGCCTCTTTCTATATCCTCCATCAGTAACACCCTCAGCCTCTTTCTATATCCTCCATCAGTAACACCCTCAGCCTCTTTCTATATCCTCCATCAGTAACACCCTCAGCCTCTTTCTATATCCTCCATCAGTAACACCCTCAGCCCCTTTATGTCCTCCATCAGTAACACCCTCAGCCTCTTTCTATATCCTCCATCAGTAACACCCTCAGCCTCTTTCTATATCCTCCATCAGTAACACCTTCAGCCTCTTTCTATATCCTCCATCAGTAACACCCTCAGCCTCTTTCTATATCCTCCATCAGTAACACCATCAGCCTCTTTCTATATCCTCCATCAGTAACACCCTCAGCCTCTTTATATATCCTCCATCAGTAACACCTTCAGCCTCTTTCTATATCCTCCATCAGTAACACCCTCAGCCTCTTTCTATATCCTCCATCAGTAACACCCTCAGCCCCTTTATATCCTCCATCAGTAACACCCTCAGCCTCTTTCTATATCCTCCATCAGTAACACCCTCAGCCCCTTTATGTCCTCCATCAGTAACACCCTCAGCCTCTTCTATATCCTCCATCGTAACACCCTCAGCCTCTTTCTATATCCTCCATCAGTAACACCCTCAGCCTCTTTCTATATCCTCCATCAGTAACACCCTCAGCCTCTTTCTATATCCTCCATCAGTAACACCCTCAGCCTCTTTCTATATCCTCCATCAGTAACACCCTCAGCCTCTTTCTATATCCTCCATCAGTAACACCCTCAGCCTCTTTCTATATCCTCCATCAGTAACACCCTCAGCCTCTTTCTATATCCTCCATCAGTAACACCTTCAGCCTCTTTCTATATCCTCCATCAGTAACACCCTCAGCCTCTTTCTATATCCTCCATCAGTAACACCCTCAGCCCCTTTATATCCTCCATCAGTAACACCCTCAGCCTCTTTCTATATCCTCCATCAGTAACACCCTCAGCCCCTTTCTATATCCTCCATCAGTAACACCCTCAGCCCAGTGAACCAGAACATATAGTGAATGGGTGCTGCTGTATATAGGATATAGTTCAGATATGAACCTGTTACCACTTTCCCTTACATCTCTAGTAAACGGATCTCTTTACATCCATCACTATGTACATGATGTTACTGTGTCTTCCTATGGGAGTGGTATGTATGATGTCTTAATGGTTTGTGTTTGTTTGTGTGTGTGTGTGTTGTAGGTCATCTGAGAGTGATTCACCATGGGATAGATGGAGTGCACCTACTGTCAATCAAGAGAAGGAGGAGAGGTATGACCTTTTTTATATTACAACCCCTATAGGACTTATTAGTCCTATTTAAATGTTTATATTACAACACAGTCTTTAATCATTGACTAACATAATGTTAGAAGCATGTTAGAGAGAGAGAGGAAGGAGAGAGAGGGAGGAAATACCAGAGAGAGAATGAGAGAGAGAATGAGAGAGAGACCAAAGAGAGCGAGAGATCAAAAGAAAGAAAGAGTGAGTGAGGTAATGGTTAACTGCAGTATGACTAGAAGGGGAGGAGAGGAGAGGTCGGTCAGGTAAGGTAAGGTAAGGTAAGGTAACACTGTAGTAAAGAAGTGTCAGACCACACCTTTCTTAGCCAGTAAAGCAGCCAGAGAAACATAATCCCTGCCATTCACCTACATACCCTCTGGAAGGGGGAACGACTGGCAGAAGGAGGCATACGTAGCTTACTACAGATGAGAAGTGATTAAAGTAATGTTAAAGAAACATGGACAAGAACACAGAGCTAAGTGTGTTTCTTAGACATCAGAAAGGCTAGCTGGTTGACTATTGGACAGTCCCTCTTTATACGGAGACATACAGCTTAGCATCACAGTTGAGAAGTGACAAGTTAGAAGAAGAAGTGACAAGTTAGAGGAAGAAGAAGGGACAAGTTAGAGGAAGAAGAAGGGACAAGTTAGAGGAAGAAGAAGGGACAAGTTAGAGGAAGAAGAAGGGACAAGTTAGAAGAAGAAGAATGGACAAGTTAGAAGAAGAATGGACAAGTTAGAAGAAGGGACAAGTTAGAAGAAGAAGAAGGGACAAGTTAGAAGAAGAATGGACAAGTTAGAAGAAGAAGGGACAAGTTAGAAGAAAAAGGGACAAGTTAGAAGAAGAAGAAGAAGAAGAAGAAGGGACAAGTTAAAAGAAGAAGAAGAATGGACAAGTTAAAAGAAGAAGGGACAAGTTAGAGGAAGAAGAAGGGACAAGTTAGAGGAAGAAGAAGGGACAAGTTAGAGGAAGAACAAGGGACAAGTTAGAGGAAGAAGAAGGGACAAGTTAGAGGAAGAAGAAGGGACAAGTTAGAAGAAGAATGGACAAGTTAGAAGAAGAAGGGACAAGTTAGAAGAAGAAGAAGGGACAAGTTAGAAGAAGAAGAAGGGACAAGTTAGAAGAAGAATGGACAAGTTAGAAGAAGAAGGGACAAGTTAGAAGAAGAAGAAGGGACAAGTTAGAAGAAGAATGGACAAGTTAGAAGAAGGGACAAGTTAGAAGAAGAAGGGACAAGTTAGAAGAAGAAGAAGGGACAAGTTAGAAGAAGAATGGACAAGTTAGAAGAAGGGACAAGTTAGAAGAAGAAGGGACAAGTTAGAAGAAAAAGGGACAAGTTAGAAGAAGAAGAAGAAGAAGAAGGGACAAGTTAAAAGAAGAAGAAGAATGGACAAGTTAAAAGAAGAAGAAGGGACAAGTTAGAAAAGAAGAAGAAGGGACAAGTTAGAAGAAGAAGAAGGGACAAGTTAGAAGAAGAAAAGAGAAAGAAGAAGAAGAAAGAAGAAAGAAGAAGAAAGAAGAAGAAGAAGAAAGAAGAAGAAGACAATAAGAGAAGAAGAGAAGGACAAGTAAAGAAGAAGAAGTAAAGAAAATGGACAAGTTAGAAGAAGAAGTAGAAGGAAGCAAGTTAAAAGAAGAAGAGAGGACAAGTTAAAAGAAGAAGGAAAGTTAAAGAAGAAGGGACAAGTTAGAAGAAGAGAAGGGACAGTTAGAAAAGAAGAAGACAGTTAGAAGAAGAGAAGAAGGGACAAGTTAGAATGAAGAATGGTACAAGTTAGAAGAAGAGAAGGACAAGTTAGAAGAAGAAGGAAAGGACAAGTTTAGCAGAGGGACAAGTTAGAAGAAGCGGACAAGTTTAGAAGAAAGGACAAGTTAGCAGAAGGACAAGTATGCACAGTTTAGAAGAAGTATGAAGGACAAGTTCGGAATTGAAGGAAGTTAGAAGAAGAAGTTACAAGTTAGAGACTTGGATGAGAACCCACTGTCAACACACTGGTTGAATCAATGTTGTTTCCACATAATGTCAATGAAATGATGTTGAACCAACGTGGAATAGACGTTTGTGCCCAGTGTGAAGACGGTTGTTGGCAATTGAAAGACAATTTCTAGAAGTGGATGCACTGACTGATATTACTGTCTCTCCATCACAGAGACCCAGAGCCTTCAATGGACCGGTGAGTGTGTCATGTTATGTCTTACACAGCAACATCTTAATATCTCTTCATTGTTTCCTTCATGTCTGTCATAGCATACCTTCCCATTGTCCGCTTTAATCTAACATCTTTACCACATTCTCTTTGCTGCTGTGGTAAGGAAACCTAACGCATGTTGTAGTTGGAGATACCTAAGTTATGGACTCTATGATAGTAAGGAATCTATTGGTAGTAAGATAGGAAACCAAATACGTGTGATATTGGGGGTACTAAAGGTATATCCAGGAGAAACTGTCAGGGTCATAGCACATACAGGTTATCCAGGAGAAACTGTGAGGTCATAGCACATACAGGTTATCCAGGAGAAACTGTGAGGTCATAGTACATACAGGTTATCCAGGAGAAACTGTGAGGTCATAGTACATACAGGTTATCCAGGAGAAACTGTCAGGGTCATAGTACATACAGGTTATCCAGGAGAAACTGTGAGGTCATAGTACATACAGGTTATCCAGGAGAAACTGTCAGGGTCATAGTACATACAGGTTATCCAGGAGAAACTGTCAGGGTCATAGTACATACAGGTTATCCAGGAGAAACTGTGAGGTCATAGTACATACAGGTTATCCAGGAGAAACTGTCAGGGTCATAGTACATACAGGTTATCCAGGAGAAACTGTCAGGGTCATAGTACATACAGGTTATCCAGGAGAAACTGTCAGGGTCATAGTACATACAGGTTATCCAGGAGAAACTGTCAGGGTCATAGTACATACAGGTTATCCAGGAGAAACTGTCAGGGTCATAGTACATACAGGTTATCCAGGAGAAACTGTCAGGGTCATAGTACATACAGGTTATCCAGGAGAAACTGTGAGGTCATAGCACTAGTCGTTATCCACTAGTCTTACCTGTTCAGTACCTGGTGAATGTGTAATATAGTAATGGTGGTAATAGGGGGACCCATTTAAGAGATTTAGGCCAAAGCAGCTGTATTAGCTCTCTGTACTGGATCTAAGGTTACCTCTGACTGTTATGTTGAGCTCTGTATTAAGCCTCTCTGGTACTACTTACAGACATACCAGTATAGCCTGTCCTGTGTTTTTCTGTCCCATTCCATTTCTCTGCTATGTTCTATTTGACCCATAATAACACATCATCTGATATACGGTTTTATTTCCTACTCCAGGACCTTGGACAGTTCTGCCAACCAGAGACCCAAGTCACCAGACACTGAGTCCAATAAGTGAGTGAATCATGAGAAGGATGGGGGTATAACTTTAGAAGTACAGTGAGTTATAACCATTAGCCTAGTAGTGATGGTTACTATTTGTGATGGTTACAATAAGTCTCTCTCAACCTTCTACCGCTCTTCTCTCTCTCTCTATTTCATTGCCTCTCTCTCTCTATTTCATTGCCTCTCTCTCTATTTCATTGCCTCTCTCTCTCCATTTCATTGCCTCTCTCTCTCTCCATTTCATTGCCTCTCTCTCTATTTCATTGCCTCTCTTTCTCCATTTTATTGCCTCTCTCTCTCTCTCCATTTCATTGCCTCTCTCTCCATTTCATTGCCTCTCTCTCTATTTCATTGCCTCTCTCTCTCCATTTCATTGCCTCTCTCTCTCTCCATTTCATTGCCTCTCTCTCCATTTCATTGCCTCTCTCTCCATTTCATTGCCTCTCTCTCTATTTCATTGCCTCTCTCTCTCTCCATTTCATTGCCTCTCTCTCCATTTCATTGCCTCTCTCTCCATTTCATTGCCTCTCTCTCTATTTCATTGCCTCTCTCTCTCCATTTCATTGCCTCTCTCTCTATTTCATTGCCTCTCTCTCTCCATTTCATTGCCTCTCTCTTTCTCCATTTTATTGCCTCTCTCTCCTCTCTCAGGTGTTTTGTGTACCTGAAGGAGTATGTGAACGCTACAGACCTAACCAAGCACAACACTAGAGACGATCCTGACTATGTAACGTCTAGTTCTAGCAGCCATTCCAACAGCAGCCCCTCCTCTTCCACCAGGTAACAATACTTTGTCCACTCCTCCATTGAAAATACAACTCCTAGGCCCTTGTTGTTCAAATCTGAAGGAACCCAGATAGGTGTGATCAACACGGCAGAAGGAACCCAGATAGGTGTGATCAACACGGCAGAAGGAACCCAGATAGGTGTGATCAACACGGCAGAAGGAACCCAGATAGGTGTGATCAACACGGCAGAAGGGACCCAGATAGGTGTGATCAACACGGCAGAAGGAACCCAGATAGGTGTGATCAACACGGCAGAAGGAACCCAGATAGGTGTGATCAACACGGCAGAAGGGACCCAGATAGGTGTGATCAACACGGCAGAAGGAACCCAGATAGGTGTGATCAACACGGCAGAAGGGACCCAGATAGGTGTGATCAACACGGCAGAAGGAACCCAGATAGGTGTGATCAACACGGCAGAAGGAACCCAGATAGGTGTGATCAACACGGCAGAAGGAACCCAGATAGGTGTGATCAACACGGCAGAAGGAACCCAGATAGGTGTGATCAACACGGCAGAAGGAACCCAGATAGGTGTGATCAACACGGCAGAAGGAACCCAGATAGGTGTGATCAACACGGCAGAAGGGACCCAGATAGGTGTGATCAACACGGCAGAAGGAACCCAGATAGGTGTGATCAACACGGCAGAAGGAACCCAGATAGGTGTGATCAACACGGCAGAAGGAACCCAGATAGGTGTGATCAACACGGCAGAAGGAAGCTACAACGCTAGCTGGGTGGAGTGGGATCATCAACATATTCAAATCAAACTTTATTGCTTACACCTATCCGGTTCCTTCAGATCGGCAAACACCAAATAGAAGTGGTATGGACACCAAGGTTATTATAGTAAACTAAAACTAAAGGTGGAAAAACTATTTAGTAAACTGAAATAACTATTTCAACGAAAAATATTTGAAAAACTAAAACTATACTGTGACTATCTTTGACTGCAAAAAAAAAAAAAAAAAAAAAAAACATCAAATTATGTTTAGTTTTAGTTGTTTTCTTCTTAACCTTGTGCAAAAATCAAATGGGGTTTTTAAGCTTTTTTTCCAAATGGGTTTTTCGAGCTTCTGAATCTGGCGGGTAAAAGCTTACAGTAGATGTCAATGTTTCAAATAGGCCTAGCTTGTGCATCACTATCACTAGCTAACAGGGAAGAAATCAGAGGGCGAGCACGGAGCGTGACTGGGCCAAGCTAGAACTGTGTGTGAAGTTGCTGGAGCCGTCCACACGACCAACTTCAAACTGACAGCCAGTCACTGTCTGATGTGGTGCTGTGCCTTCTCAACCTTGAGGCACACTTGCAGTTGCTACTATTGCAAAACAGTTGGCACAGGTCCTCCTGAAGTCACTGCGTGAGCACTTCACATGCATACTGAATCCTCTGGCAGCCAACTTCGATCCAACCCCTGCAGCAGTTTGCCTGATGGACCCAACAGTGTCTCTGGCACTTCGCTCAACAGAGATGGAGCCACTGATGAGGGAAGCAGAGTCTTTTGTACTTCAGCAAATCAGAGAGTACAGCCGTGGAGCAGCAGGACCCCAGTAAGATGCCAGCAAGATGAATCCAGCAAGCATCTCGACCACAGTGCATCAGAAAAATAGCTTCCTTGCATCGAAGACTGTGTCTGAGGTCACTGTCCAGCCGGAGGGTCAACCTGGCAGGGCATTAAGTGCCCTGTGTGAGCTGCGGAAATACCTGGAAGAGTTAAAGGGGGGCCATGTTTACAGAGTCTCCAGTTCTGGCAGGCAAGGATGGCTGTTTATCCATGTATAATATTACATAAATATGTCAAATGTGCCATGACTTCCTTTGTTGATTTTTCCTCTCTCTTTCTGTCAGATAACGGTAAAGGTACTTGATTTTTCTTACATCTACTACTAAAGTTAAAAAAGCATTGGATTGGTGTAAACATCGGCAAGAGCGTTTCCTTCCACCATATTTCTTGCACCAGTCTAGGCGTTTGTCCTTTCAATCCAAGTCACATTAGGATTGTTTTAATATTTAAACCTAACCAATCCTACAGTATGTCCTGGCCAAGGTGTTGTATGGAGGCCTGTAGTGGCCAAAAACCTGTGTTAGCATGGGCAGCGCCATTGAGGATTTTCTCCATTTTGATTTAGTCAACTGGGCGGGACTTCCAACTTCATTGGCTGATCCCTCCTGATGACCCTGTTGGCATGACCTGATGACCCGGTCGGAGTCGTGACAGCCAGGTCAACAGGCGTGATCAGCCAATTAATTTTTACTTGTGAACAAGAAAATGTACTATTTCAAGATGGAGACGGCCTCAATGGTGCTACCCATGTTCTCACAGACGCCATCATGACACAGATACGGAGATGTTACGTCTATCCAAGTCTATGGTCCTGGCCCATCACCTAATGTATTATTGCCCCCCAGTGGCAGGAAGTGACACATAAGCTTTCTGTCCCTAAAACACTAAAACCACGGCCGGCCCGCTCATTAGGCAGGATTAGGCGGCAGATTGATGAGGGCGGCATTTTCTGAGCTAAACTGACCGACAAACACATAAAACCAAACATAATTCTGCCCAATGACAATTTCTCTCAACCAGTGGCATATGGCCTTTTTAGGTGAGCGCTGATGCCGCCCTGTGATAAAAAGTGCCCACTTTGTCAAAGGGGCGTTTCTCCAGGGTGCAGTTGGAGAGACGCTTCGCTGCCATGCACCACCAACGTTCCGTCAAAAAAAAACATCTAACATAAATCATGTAGCAGATATAGGATATGGTAGAAAGAGGAAGATGTGGCCTACAGGCTGGAGATAAAATGTATGACAATGTAATGACACAGACACTTTTTACATCATGCCGGTTTCTCCGATCTAAATGAATAGCCTAACCTAAACGGCGCCCAATCAAATAAAGAAATGCGCTGTCATGTTAACAAACAACATATCTTAAAAACAGGATGGGTCAAAGTAAAATGGACAATATGGAATGGACAATCACAACTGTTGTCCAGGAGTTTCACCCCATTGTCATGATCAGTGGTTTCTAGTTTGTATCCGTACATTTTTGACAAGCTGATCATAGCGAAAAAGAAAATACTTCTGCATTTCCTGCTGTGTAAATACATTGCAAATAGGCCCAGGATAACTCCTGATAAAGTTGGGTAGCTGATATTCAGAGCTTAAATAGCCAAATTGATTATTTACAGGAATCAGGACTAGTAAAGCCAATGCAACACCTGTTTTACAAACAGTAGGCCTCACATGGAAGGACATTCATAAAATTCAATTTCAGGCAACACTGTAGGCTACACCTCAGTAAGCACGGGCCGACACTGATGCCTTTTGGAAATCTTTTTTTGGTGCAGTCTGGACCGGCCTTGATTTCCACATCCACGGACATTGGTTTTTGGTCCGGTCCAGACAAAATCTGAACCAATATAGACGTCTATGTTTGGTTCAGATTTTGTCCGGTCTGGACCAGCCTTTATTTGGCCCAAACATAGACGTCTATAAATTACGTATTTTCAACTTTTATTCAGAACCAAAAATTATAAACTTGGATTAGCAAACACAACATGCCATTGGAACACAGGACTGATGGTTGCTGATAATGGGCCTCTATACGCCTATGTAGATATTCCATTAAAAAATCAGCCGTTTCCAGCTACAATAGCCATTTAAAACATTAACAATGTCTACACTGTATTTCTGATCAATTTGATGTTATTTTAAAAATGGATAAAAAAATTGCTTTTCTTTAGAAAACGAAGACATTTCTAAGTGACCCCAAACTTTTGAACGGTAGTGTATATATGTATTTTAAACGTACGGAAAATGTATTTTCACCTTTTATTCAGATCCTAACTTCAACGTCTGGAAAATACCTATTTTACACGTCTTTTCAACGTCATTTTGCTTACTGGGAGTATTCTAGTTTTTTGGGGGCTGCATTTTTTGGTCTTGCCTAGCCAGGCAGAACGACAAGGACCGGCCCTGACTAAAACTAAAACTAAATAATATAGAAACATTTTTATCAAACAAACTAAATAAAGATGAGTAAATCAAGTCTGAAGACTAACTGAAACTAAACTGAATTTCCCCAAAAATATAAATACTAATAGAAATTAAAACTAATATTAAATCACAAAACTATAATAACCTTGGACACACATGCCATTTTGTAATGCCTTGGCTGGAAACGTGTAGATACAGGCTTTGACCGAATAGAGCTGTGTCCCATGCTGAACACCCCCCCTCCCCCCTCCCCTAGGACTACCATGACGTCTGCCTGTACGTACTGTGGAGAGCAGGTGGGCAACGATGCCAAGATCACCATCGAGCACCTCAACATCTCCTGTCACTCGGCCTGCTTCAAGGTAACTAAACCTGGTTATCAACAGGTTATATGTTATACTCTGGTTACAATCATGTTATAGGTTATACACTTTGACCCTGTATCAGCTATGGTGGCTGCGGTAGTGGTAAAAGTGTTTGTTTCAGTGGTATAGCAGCAGTGTTGCTCGCAGGTAAAATTATTGCAGACTAGAACTAAGCTGAAGCCTTCATATAGTCTTGGCTGTGTTACATTAACAATATGCTATGTTGTTGTTGTTGCAGTGTGGTGTTTGCAGTAAGCCAATGGGAGACTTTCTGTTCAACATGTTCCTGCACAAAGGGACTGTCCACTGTGAGAGCTGCTATGGCAACGTCTTCTAGGATGCTTCCTTTCCTTGTCTCCTTGTCTCTTTTCCTTCATGGCCACAGAGGTGACAAGACTGGATGGCTGATTTAACTGCTCTCACCCAATCAAGACCTGTCGTCTGCTAACAGACAGGGACACTGCACCTTGAGTTTGACATAAATTTCCATGTGTGAGATTTTGTTTTCATACCTTTGTATGGATCCTACTGAATTGCATGAGGTTAACACTGGAACACTATGGAAGTTATTATGTGGTTTAGGGTTGGTAAAGAGAATAATATGATCATATTACTGATATTGTCTTCCGTCCAAATTAATGAACACTTTATTATTAAAAAAAAAAAAAAAAATCTTAAAGGTCCAGTGCAGTCAGAAATGTGATTTTCCTGTGTTTTACATATACTGTATTTCCACGCTATGAGGTTGGAATAATACTGCGAAATTGTGAAAATGATGATAATTCCATTTAAGTGTGTAAGCGCCAAAGATGTCAGCCTGTTTTGGTGGGAGGAGTTTTGGCCTGCCTGGCGGCATCACCAGGTAGTATTGCGAATAACAACTCGTTTTCATGTTACATATCCTCCCCATTAGGCTCGTCCAGTTAGGACTCTCACTCAGACCTAGCAAAATTCTTTTTCGAGAAATTGCTTGTTTAGAAGCTATTTTTATTTCTTTTTGACCATTTTAATTGAAAATAATCACAGTGAGGTACTTAATTACCTAGAAATGGTTTGATATTGCGATTAAAACGGCTTCATTGGACCTTTTAATGTCGTAACTTGGTGAATTTATTGTGAAATATGAAGGAACTGTATGTAAAAGTCTCTAAATATGATTATGTAATGAAAATATTTAACTGGGAACTGGCTATTAGCAGTTGGGTACAATTTTCTACTTTCAGGCTTGACTATGCAAAGTAAATAACTATAATATATATTTTTTTCACATTTTCATTTTTAATTGTCTTATGCTTTTTCGGTCAATAAACAATAAAACTGATATACATAAACATTATATAAATATAGAGTATAAAAAATGTTGTACATGATTGAGTGTTGCAAAGATTGTCGAAAAGAGCAGTTATGGCGACAGGTTTGAGACCTATAGAACAAGATCAAATATATTGCACAAAGGTTTTCATTGCAGAGAGGGGTAAAAAAAAAACCCATCTACTGTAACTTTGACATACATTAGGCCCTTTGGTGCCACAGATATGGCTACCAGACACCTCAAGTGGATGGCATTTTAAAACAATGATGTATTATTATTTTTTTGTACATCTTCTAGTTCAGTAACAGTTGAGCTTCTCTAGTTCAGTAACAGTTCATCTTCTCTAGTTCAGTAACAGTTAATTAACATTGTGGTAGATTCTCCAAGCATTGCTGGTCCATATCTCTCTGGTTTGCCCCACTCACTGGTTTAGGGGTGCAAGTCTCTGGACATGTCCAAATAGATGGCTTTCTTTCCTTGTTCTCTTTCAGTCAATAAGGAACTTTCTCAGTTACCTCTGGCTCTCCTCCTGTATGTGGTTCCTCAGCAGTGCAGGGTTCGACTAGTTATGCCTGTCCTCCTCTGGCCCTCCTCATAGCCATCTCCTGGATGTGATGCCAGAGCAGTGCAGGGTCCGACTCGTTATGTCTGATGAGAGACTCCAATCCTTCAGCCTGATCTAGGCTCTGCCAGTAGTCCTGGGGCCACATCTGGACCCAGCTGAAAAAACACACACTAATAAATGAGGCTAATAAGCACAGCAGTTTCTGAAATGTTAGGAGAGAAACGCTTGTGATGTTAAGACACTCACTCAATGGGGGAATATCTCTCATTGTAAACAGTACACTGTCATAAAGTACTACACTTATAAGGGTAAAGCAATTTATACAAAGAACAAAGCCCTTCATTTCAGAGGCTGGTGGTGCCTACCTGTCATTGGTGTGTAGGTCCTGAATGTCTCCAAACCCTGGGCTGGGTAGAGGACATCCCATATGAGAATTATTGGCCATCTTAGGCTGGGGGGGGCGGGCTCTTCTCTGGGGCTTTCCTATAAGCCCGTTCAGCTGCCAGTCTGGTATTTTCCTGGTCACAGACATAGCACTCGAAGCCGTTGAGGTAGTTGGGTTTGCTCATGTCGTTCACGCCCCACTCCCTGCTCTCCAGTGCCTCCAACAGGCCAACGTTGGTAACACGGCTCGGCTTCTTAAACTCTAAATACTTAGCATACTCTTCATCGTTCTCATCCAGCACCTTGAGGAACTTGGCTAGGTCCTGAGGTGATGGGAAGTCATCGATAAGGATGACAGAGTGGTCGTTGGGCATCCAGTCGGCTACTGAGGAGGAGCCGCGGTAGACTGGTACACAGCCCTGGTGGAGAGGCCGCCATAGCTTCTCTGTCATGTAGTCCTGGAGGAAATCAAATTAAATCCAACTTTATTTAAAGTACATTTAAAATCAAACATGCTTTACAACAATGAAATGAAAGAGACGAAAACAATTAAAGGCAATTCGCTATGAAAGTAAGCAGGAAGTTAAATTAAAATAAAAGTGACTCCAAAATGACACAATACATTATTCACCATTAAGTTCCTATTGTATAAGAGAGATTAATAAAATAATAAAACATAAAGGATGTCTAAAACAACGATAAAATCATTAATTTAGTATTTCTCTCTCTCTCTGTCTCTCTCTCTCTCTCTCACTCTCTCTCTCTCTCTCTCTCTCTCAATCTCTCTCTCTCTCTCTCTCTCTCTCTCAATCTCTCTCTCACTCACTCACTCACTCACTCACCTGACACAGGCCGTTCTCCAGGGCCAGGTGGAACTTGTAGCGTGCCGTGAAGCTCATGAAGCCGGCGTCCTCCCCTGTGGCCGTGCTTGTGTCCTCCAGGTACTGGGGGAGGGGCTTATTGTTCAGACATTTTCCATATGAGTCCACCTGGAGGGAGGGGGGGCGAGAGAGTGAAAGATAAATAAATATAGAGAGACAGTGGGTGGGGGAACAGGGGACAAAGAAAGAGGTATTTGGGAGAAAAGTTAGGACTAGGGTAGAGGGCTCAACTCACACAAATGGTTGCCAGTCCACCAAATCATGGGATACAACAATAAAAACCAGACCACATTCCTTTATATCAAAACATCTAGGCTAGGAGGGAACACATTCCATACCACTGTACCTCTATGTACTTCATGAGTTTCTGTACGTATCTGTCCCTGTCAGAGGGGACGTCACAGTGTGACTGCATGTACATGATTGGGGCCAGGCCCTCTCTCCTCCAGTGGTTCTTCTGCTCCAGAGACACGGCTACGGGTTGGAGCAGGTATCCCAGGGAGGGCAACCACTGCAGGGTCAGAGGGTAGTCTGAGCCCCTCCTGAAGGTGGCTGTGGAGTTGAACATAGGGAGTGTTTGGTCTGTTAAGACATGTTGCTATGAGAAAAATTAAATTAAAACAAAGCTTTGATTGCAACTTATATTCATTCAAGTGAGTGCTGGCCTTTGTTTGAGGCTGCGTCCCAAATAATACTCTATTCCCTAGATAGAGCCCTATGTGCACTGGTCAAAAGTAGTGCAATATATATGGAATAGGGTGCTATTTGGGACGCAGGCTTAATTTTTTTATGTGAGCGATTGTTGGCTCCAAGTACCCTTTAATTTATTTACACAAGATAAGAGTTGACACATTGTCTCCCTGTACCTGTGTAGTTAAACAGCCTGATGCCTGGGCTGTGGGACAGGACGTAGTTGTTCATGGGGGACTCCTCGTGGAATAAGGCCCAGGTCTGGTGAGAGGGTCTGGGAAGAGGAGCCTCGTAGGCCCTGAAGTCTGTCCCATAGAAGATGATGGAGGAGGTGCGTCGGTACAGTTGAACCTGTAGAGATCAGGATGGTTCCAGTTTATTCATATCCACATTGCTGTCAATACAAACGGAAATCCATGGTCATGAAAAAGACAGGGCTATTATTAATAACATATTATAAACAACATGTATTAACAGATCACAAAGATAACACTAGCCTGGTCACAGATCTGTTGGTGTGACAATGGCCATAGCCGTAGGAGTTGGCAAAACAGCACAAACAGATCTAGGACCAGGCTAAGATAACACACAAAATAAAAAAACCACTGGAAGACCAAGCTATAATACTAGAACCACAGACCTTCCTATTGCGTGTGACCAGACAGGAGGAGGAGTGACAGTCGATGCGTTCTGTGTCTCCGGGGAAATGAGGGAAGAGTCCTGCACTCCACCACAACAGGATGGGCAGCTCCTTGTTGCCACGTGAGTCATTGTTGCCGGGGCCGCGGTAGGAAGCAATGGAAGAGAACTCCATGTCAGACAGGGCACTCTGCGGCTGGAAGGCACCCCGATCTGCATCCATGGGGTCCCCAATATCCATGGGGTCGCCAACGTAAAGGGGGTCCTGGGACCAGGAACAGGGCAGGGTGGACAGGAGACACAGCAGCCCCAGACACAACCACACACAGCAGGGCACCAGCCTGGCCCCCAGCCTCCCCTCCACAGACATCTAAGAACCAGAGAGAGACATTATATAGATCAGACATCATGCATTTATTTGGATTCTGTCTGCTTGTACACTGCACACTAGTCAAGCCATAGAGCCATAGTCTATGGATGTTGTTGGCCCATAGATATGCTTCATGTTGGCATGCAATAGATGGCTCTGGTCTGTCCATACCAGGTTCACTTACATGATGGCTACACGGTGATATTTCCCTATATACAGCAACTAAATACACTGATCTACTGTAACTAGCCAGCCAGCCACATCGTAGTAAAGATCAAAGCCATCTCTCTGGCTAGATACTGAAGAAACCACTCATGAGGGACACATAATCAACACATTACAAAGGTCATAACAAACCGCACGTATTCTTACCGTTATCATTACAATAAACACATGAATGTAGGTGCGTTCCTCTCTTTTTTTCTGTCACAGAACTCAGGAATTTCCTCTGGAAATATTTATTTGGGCGGAGACAAAGACCTGAGGAAGCAGTAAAGAAAGGGAAATAATCTGGGATCTGCCTCTGGTACGCGTCTCCACGCTAAATCAACGTTTAGTGCATTACTACCATCTACAGTTCTGGAGTGGAATCACATACTGACTGTGCACTTACACATTATTTTCTTCAGTGATAAAAAATAATAATAAAAAATAAGATAATATGTACAGTCAAAGCAGGGCTATTTGAACATGTCGAAGTATCCAGACTCACAGAGCATGGACCAAATTTGACAGCAAAATAAATAGATGGACCAGGGATGGACAGGCTCTACGTGGGCTTTAGGACCAAGCGTCGCGACTGGACTCAGGGGCATATTCATTACGCCTATTCAGTTGCAAAACGTTTCTTAAACGAAAGCAAACGGAATGAAACGGGCGCGACCTACCTGAATTTGTCCAATAGAAAATCTCGTTTTTGTTGCAAAACGCAACTGTTTGAACTGGAAAATACTGGGGACGCGCCTCAACCCCAACAAGCAAGTGTTCACAGTACGTCAAATCTCAGTTGCAAGACTGGGCAAGCTACGACTTATATGACGATACAAAATGAGGTAACGAAAACGATTTTACGCCTTAAATTAATGCAGTCACATGTAGTAATATTGAATATGGCGCATGTTTGCTCAAACCGGTCTATTTATTCGTAGTTTAGTTGAATAATTCAGAACAATTGATGTCAACAACACAACCCATCCCAGTGGATAGCTAGCTAACGGTAACAGGCTAGCTGGCTACTGTTTGGCTTATTCTTATCACCACCATGATCATCATTACATAGTCGCCATTTCATTTGCTATCTATTCATCCCCAGATCTAGCTAGATGTCCTGTGTAATATGTAGCTACATTTACGAAATGGGAACCCTCAGATTTCATTATCGACAATAAAATGGTATCAGAACAACAGTATAGCAGGGAGTTGGGGTTAGCTACTAAACAATTGGGTGATTCTCATGAAACCAGTTTTAGTCATCGCAGTAGCAAATTGAGTTAGAAAACCATGATGCATCTGCAACAAACAATCATTCTGAAGACTAAGATGCCTAGTTTATGCCACAGTGACTGTTTAAAAAGAATTTTCATTTTTTTGCCTGAATTTTACAGTGGTGGAAAAGTATCCAATTGTCATACTTGAGTAAAAGTAAAGATACCGTAATAGAAAATTACTCAAGTAAAAATGAAAGTCAACCAGTAAAATACTACTTCAGTAAAAGTATTTGGTTGGAATATACTTAAGTATTGAAAGTAAAAGTATAAGTCATTTCAAATTCCCTATATTAAACAACCCAGATAGCACCATTTTCTTGTTTTTTAAATTACGGATAACCAGGGGCACACGAAGCATGTGTGTTTAGTGAGTCCACCAGCTCAAGAGGCAATAAGGATGACCAGGGATGTTCTCTTGATAAGTGGTGAATTGGACCATTTTCCTGTCCTGCTTAGCATTCAAAATGTAACAAGTACTTTTGGGTGTCAGGGAAAATGTATGGAATAAAAAGTACATTATTTTCTTTAGGAATGTAGTGAAGTAAAAGTAGTCAAAAATATAAATAGTCAGTCAAGTAAAGTACAGATACCCTAAAAAACTACTTAAGTAGCACTTTAAAGTATTTTTACTTATGTACTTTACACCACTGGAATTGAATACATTTTCACCCCACATTCTCATTACTGAAATGCATCCGGATTAAATTCTCGGGTCATTTTATACAATTTTATTTTAGAAAAAAACAAACTTATTTGAATAAAACACAAAATATGTTGCTGTAGTTTGTCCATAAATCAGATTTTTTTTAATACATTAATAGAAGTTTACATTAAACTATAATATTTATTATATAAAAACACTCATTACCATAACACTTTATCAAGTTTCTGTAAAAACTCCAATCTTTCTTAAAAGAAAGTTTAATTCACCAATGATGCATCATCTAGAGCAGGGTTCTTCAATTCCGGTCCTGGAGGGCCGAAACACCTCTATTTTTCATCCTCTCCTTCTAATCAGGGGCTAATTCAGACCTGGGACACCAGGTGAGTGCAATTAACTACCAGGTAGAAATAAAAAACTGAAGTGTTTCGGCCCTCCAGGACCGGAATTGAAGAACCCTGATCTAGAGGAACAGTCCTTAGATGAGCACAAGTTCATTTAATTTCTTCAGAATGAGGATCTTATTCTCAAACACCCTCTTTACAACACTTAACTTACTCATTACCGAAATGACTAAAATGCTCAAATTGGGAAAAACTTAAAGAACCATTACCTTACCAACATGGAGGTATGGATGGGCTTTACTGATGTGGTCAATTGTTTGCTGATTCATAATGGCAGTCTTCTATTACTTGCAGATTGAGCTAAGGGCCTCTTATTACGAAACATTTCTCATTACTGCATCGTTTTTAGGTCCATTTCGGTAATGAGATTCTTAATTTCGGTAATGATAATAAGCTCATTCTAATGTATTGTCAATGGGTGTGCTGTGCTGGTAACTTTAATTATTTACTAGGACCATTGCTTACACCTATTGTATAGATTTTTTGTAAAACAGTTATTTGATTAAGTAGGGGTTAGTCAAGAAATATGGGTTTATAAACCCCATTTAATTTACTTACAATCTGGAGTTTGTGTTTCAGGAAAGCGAAACCACCATTTAAAGGAGGATATTCCCCATTTTGACACCTGTACCTGTTTTAGCACTTACTTATACTGTTGTTTGATATCCCAAGACAGTTTCTGGTCCATATCCCACATATTTAGATACTTTATAGGCATATCATGTTATGCCATTTGCCCATAGGATCCCATTCAATTTACAAATACAACTAAAATACCTTAGAACCACACATATTCATGTCCTAATACACCAATATTACCTGTAAAGACATTGGACATTTTACATTTGAAATGTAAGTCACTTTTTTTTATGCTTTGGCAAATCAGATCACACCTCCATTCTGCTCCTCCCTTCCTATAGGCAGAAACTGAAACAGGAAGTACCCGTGGTAAGGACTGTTCAATGTTGGTCTGACCAATCGGAATCTATGCTCCAAGATTGTTTTGATCACGCGGACTAGGATATGTTCTGGGTTGTCTCTGAGAATAGCATTGACATATACACTAACTCGGTGACTGAATTCATCAGGAAGTGCATAGAGGATGTTGTTTCCACTGACGACATGAGTAAGACATTTAAGCGTGTTAACCCTTGCAAGGCTGCCAGCCCAGACGGCATCCCTAGCTGCTTCCTCAGAGCATGTGCAGACCAGCTGGCTGGAATGTTTACAGACATATTAAATCTCTCCCTATCCCAGTCTGTTGTCCCCACTTGCTTCAAAATGTCCACCATTGTTTCTGTACCCAAGAAAGCGAAGATAACTGAACTAAATCAGTGGTTCCCAAACTGTGGGGCCGCGCCCCCTAGGGGGGACGTGAGGGGTTTGCAGGGTGGGTGTGTTTTTTTATATTTTTTTTAAAGGAACTCAGTCCGGCTTTAAACTTACTCTTGAAATTTGTAATAGTAGAATGCACAAGGTGCAATTTCGAAATTGGTAAGTGCATCATCAGTTCCTCTTGTCATGTTAGTCATTGTATACCTTAGAGACTTGTCAGAAATGTCCAGATCAACTAGCCCATGTCAGCTAACGTTGTTTTATTTAGGTTTTTTAGCCCATAGATATTGTGGTCATTTTTTTGTCACTCAAATATCACATGAATACACATTAGACATGGCAAAAAGTATAGAATAGCAAGAAAATGTGCTTTAAAACTTCAAAATTATCTTAGCACCCCATGACAAAATGTGTAGAATTGCAGGAAATAAGCTGCGCGCGCAGGGAAGGGTGTGGGATGTTCCCCAATGCTGGAAGGGGAGCCCCGAGTGAAAAAGTTTGGGAACCCCTGAACTAAATGACTATCGCCCTGTAGCACTCACTTCTGTCATCATGAAGTGCTCTGAGAGGCTAGTTAAGGATTATATCACCTCCACCTTACTCGACACAAAATAATCTCTCCCTCAACGTCAACAAAATGAAGGAGCTGATCGTGGATTTCAGGAGACAGCAGAGAGAGAGCAGCTTCAAGTTCCTCGGCGTGCACATCACTGACAATCTGAAATTGTCTATCCACACAGACAGTTTGGTGAAGAAGGCGCAACAGCGCCTCTTCAACCTCAGGAGGCTGAAGAAATTTGGCTTGGACCCTAAGACCCTCACGAACTTCTACAGATGCACCATTGAGAGCATCCTGTCAGACTGTATCACCGTCTGGTACAGCAACTGCACCGCCCGCAACCGCAGGGCTCTCCAGAGGGTGGTGCGGTCAGCCCAACACATTCTACAGCACCCGGTGTCTCAGAAGGCCAAGAAGTTCATCAAGGACCTCAGCCACCCAAGCCACGGCCTGTTACTAGCCGGCTACCACCCGGTTCTCAACTCTGCACCTTAGAGACTGCTGCCCTATGTACATAGTCATTGAACACTGGTCACTTTAATAATGTTTACATTCTGATTTACCCACTTCATATGTATGTACTGTATTCTAGTCAAGGCTCATCCTATATAACTACTGCTGTACACACCTTTTCTATTCATACACTGTCTATACACACCATCATAAACATATATATATATTCCGGACTCTGACATTGCTCATTCTAATATTTCTATATTTCTTAATTATTTTCTTAACATTTTTGGGATTCGCATGTATTTTTAGGTATTACTGCACTGTTGGAGCTAGGAACATAAGCATTTTGCTACACCCACGATAACGTCTGCCAGATATGTGTACGTGACCAATATCTCTCTGCTCATCCTTCAGGTTGCATTGACCCTGCTAGTACTAGCCCAGTAGCCTAGCATCAAGGTGGAGGCTGGGTCACAGTGGTCAGTAACCCAGCTAGGAGGCTCGGCTCCAGGCAAGCCAGCCTGCTAGTGGAAGGAGGGGGCCTTACCCTGGAACGGCCTGGTGAACTGTGGTGCCTAGCAGTGGAGGGAGGGTTGTGATGAGCGGGAAGAGCTTGCTGTTAAAGGTGATCCTGCTGGGGGACGGTGGCGTGGGGAAGTCTTCCTTAATGAACCGCTACGTCACGGACCGCTTCGACACCCAGTCCTTCCACACCATCGGGGTCGAGTTCCTCAACAGAGACCTGGAGGTCAGATTATAGCTCTTTCTGAATGAAGCTTTTCTTGATTCTTCGCATTATATCTCCTTGCCTTCTTCTCAAAATGCAAAATGAGGGGAGGGACCTTGGACCTTCTCCTCCTATAAGATTGAGAAGGAGGGGAGGAGATAGAGCCAAGGTCTGTGTCTGAAATTGAATAATAATAATAATAATTATTATTATTATTTGTGTCCCTTTCGGGAAATTTGTCTTGCATCTCAACAAAGCACAGCATCACAACGTAAGTACATGCAATAACTACAGCAGACAACACGTGGATACAGTTCACAGTTCGTAATTGTGGGGGGGGGGGGGGGGGGGGGGGGTTGAACAGTTATTTGTTCTATTCTATATATAGGCTAGTGCAGTGGACTACTTTTTGACCTCACAAAATGTTTTTTATAAATGTATTGTTTTACTGTATGCTGTACTACTGTCATTGATTCTTCCTGTCTACTGTTTTATAACTTTATGATTGCTGTGTACATATCTAATTCTCTTTGGGGGCGAAAAGGTTTCTCTTCGGGACAATGAAGGTTTTCATTCACTTCCTCCCTTCAGGTGGACGGGCGCCTGGTGACCCTTCAGATCTGGGACACGGCGGGTCAGGAGCGCTTCAAGTCCCTGAGGACGCCATTCTACCGTGGCGCCGACTGCTGCCTCCTCACCTTCGCTGTAGACGACCTGCACAGCTTCCAGAACCTGGCCGCCTGGAAGAAGGAGTTCATGTTTTACTCTGACGTACGAGACCCAGAGAGGTTCCCCTTCGTTGTCCTGGGCAACAAGGTGGACAAGGAGGAGGGGAGGGAGGTGGGGGAGGACGAGGCTCGGGCCTGGTGTGAGGAGAACGGCTGTTGTCCCTACTTTGAGACCAGTGCTAAGGACGATACTAACGTGGGAGTGGCGTTCGAGGCGGCGGTACGGGAGGTTCTGGCGGCGGAGGATCAGATCGACCACACGTTGTTGAGTAGCACTATCGATCTCCATGGCAACCGTAAAGTACAGCGCTCTTCTTGCTGCTGATTGGTTGAAAGGACTGGTCGGAGCTAGCCCCTCCCTGAGTCCTCTCTGTCTAGCCTGAGCACCCTGAGAGCCATAGAGGTGTTCTGCTCTCCACTGATCTCTATGGTTACCTACATGATGCAGGTACAAGCTACTGAGACTGCCGTCGGGTTAAGAAAATGATCGGGTATCAATACAGCTGATAAGAAGAGAATCAGGCTATCAATGCAGCTGATTTTAAAAATGTCGGGTTGTCAGTATCAACGCATCTGATTTGAAAGATTATCAGGAGACAGCAATGTAAAGGTACAATGTAACAGCTACACCATGTTTTTAAACTCGGTCTGCTTTCAGCAGTATAGCACAAAACTGCTCTCTACATCCATCCAGCCAGCTTCAGCTTCATGTACCTGCCCTGTGCAGTGTTTTCACCATGTAGGCCTAGCCCTCCTACAGAACAGTCATTTTAATCTGAATCATATAAATCATTCCAGTTCTTCAGAGCGCAGGACTGCTTGTGGCACACAGTCAATCTCTATCCATTACTATCTACGCTGTCTGCTAGTCTTTGAAGAAGTTTCATAGGTACTTTGACCAGAACGTGACCATCACACAGTCAGATCTCATGACAGTGATTGGGTGGTTGGCTGACTGACTGGTGGAATATAATTGAATATAATGCACTGACATAGACATGGTCTGTTGGCTGACTGGTGGAATATAATTGAATATAATACACTGACATAGACCTCTAAGTGAAGCGGGACTTTATCCAGTCACACATCTTGTTAAGAACTGACAACATTGATTACACACATTACTGTACCAGGACAAATGTTTACTGCACAAAAAGGAATTGTTTGATTTTCTCCAAAGGGAAATATGTTTATCATTTAACACTGGATACATATATATTTGAGTTTATGTTCTGTCATGTCTGTTAACACTGGGTACATATCTATTTGAGTTTGTTCTGTCATATCATTTAACACTGGATACATATCTATTTGAGTTTATGTTCTGTCATATCTGTTAACACTGGGTACATATCTATTTGAGTTTGTTCTGTCATATCATTTAACACTGGATACATATCTATTTGAGTTTATGTTCTGTAATATCTGTTAACACTGGATACATATCTATTTGAGTTTGTTCTGTCATATCATTTAACACTGGATACATACAGTCAGGTCCATAAGTATTTGGACAGTGACACAATTTGCATAATTTGGGCTATGTACGCCACCACAATGGATTTGAAAGTAAACAATCAAGATGTGCTTTAAGTGTAGACAACATCTTTAATTTAAGGGTTTTGTCAAAATTATTGTACGAACCGTGTAGGAATTACAACCATTTTTATACATTGCCCCCCAATTTTAATGGCTCAAAAGTAATAGGACAAACTAACATTATCATAAATTAAATTGTGAGTTTGAATACTTGGTTGCAAATCCTTTGCAGTCAATGACTGCCTGAAGTCTGGAACCCATAGACCTCACCAGATGCTGGGTATCTTCCCTGGTGATGCTCAGCCAGGCCTTTACTGCAGCTGTCTTCAGTTCCTGCTTGTTCTTGGGGCGTTTTGCCTTCAGCAAGTGAAATGCATGCTCAATTGGATTCAGATCAGGTGACTGACTTGGCCATTGCAGAACATTCCACTTTGCCTTAAAAAAGTATTGGGTTGCTTTCGCAGTATGCTTCGGGTCATTGTCCATCTGCACTGTGAAGTGCCGTCCAATGAGTTTTGAAGCATTTGGCTGAATCTGAGCAGGTAAAAAAGCCCTAAACACTTCAGAATTCATCCTGCTGCTTTTGTCAGCAGTCACATCCTCAATAAATACAAGGGATCCAGTTCCACTGGCAGCCATACATGCCCACACCATAACACTACCTCCACCATGCTTCACAGATGAGGTGGTATGCTTCGGATCATGAGCAGTTCCTTCCCTTCTCCATACTCTTCTCTTCCCATCATTCTGGTACAAGTTGATCTTTGTCTCATCTGTCCATAGGATGTTGTTCCAGAACTGTACAGGCTTTTTTAGATGTTTTTTTTGGCAAACTCTAATCTGGCCTTCCTGTTTTTGAGGCTTACCAATGGTTTACATCTTGTGGTAAACCCTCTGTATTTACTCTGGTGAAGTCTTCTCTTGGTTGTTGACTTAGACACAGATATGCCTGCCTCCTGGAGGGTGTTCTTGATCTGGCCAACTGTTGTGAAGGGGTTTAATTATTCTGTCATCCACCACAGTTGTTTTCCATGGTCTTCCGGGCCTTTTGGTGTTCCTGAGCTCACCAGTGCATTCTTTCTTTTTAAGAATGTACCAAATAGTTGATTTGGCCACATGTAATGTTTTTGCTATGACAGCTCTTTGGACTTCATATTGAGGGTTAACAGCAACAGATTCCAACTCTAGACCTTTTATCTGCTTCCTTGTAAATGAACTAATGAGGGAATAACACACCTGGCCATGGAACAGCTGAGCAGACAATTGTCCAATTACTTTTGGTCCCTTAAAAAGGGGGGGACCACATATAAAAAATGCTGTAATTCCTACACCGTTCACCCGATTTGGATGTAAATACCCTCAAATTAAAGCTAAAAGTCTGCACTATTTAATTTCAACCCCAATATGCTGTGGTAGATGACTAAAATAATAACTTGGTCAATGTCCAAATATTTATGGACCTGTCTATCTTTTTGAGTTTCTGTTCTGTCATATCTGTTAACACTGGGTACATATCTATTTGAGTTTCTGTTCTGTCCTATCTGTTAACACTGGGTACATATCTATTTGAGTTTATGTTCTGTCATATCTGTTAACACTGGGTACATATCTATTTGAGTTTCTGTTCTGTCATATCTGTTAACACTGGGTATGTATCTATTTGAGGTACTTTGTATCTATACCAGATGATACAGTATTTTTTCCAAATGTCCTATAAGCTCTCTAGGTTTGTCTGAATCTGAGAAGTGTTAGGCCTACGTGTGAGAGTTGTAGGAGATGCCTGCTTTAATTCCATCCCCTACCTACCACGGTACGTACCTGCTTTAATTTCATCCCTTACCTACTACGGTACGTACCTGCTTTAATTTCATCCCTTACCTACCAGGATACGTACCTGCTTTAATTCCATCCCTTACCTACCAGGATACGTACCTGCTTTAATTTCATCCCTTACCTACCACGGTACGTACCTGCTTTAATTTCATCCCTTACCTACCACGGTACGTACCTGCTTTAATTTCATCCCTTACCTACCACGGTACGTACCTGCTTTAATTTCATCCCTTACCTACTACGGTACGTACCTTTTTTGTGAGATCCCTTTCATTTTATAGTAGGTCTCTCTTGACACATCAATGTTAGGGATATAATGTTTTTGTTTGGCGTATGGCAGATCCATTTTTCTTTTCAGGAGTTAATTTATGTTCTGATATTTACTGTGGGTTTTATATCCTGTAACTTGTGTTTGGGTTGGTGTGTCACTAAGGAAGAGTGGTGATGGTTTGTTTCTCAGCCCTACTGCCTTGCCTGTCTACCGCATGGGCCCTGCTCTAGAACACTGACAGTTCTGGAACATTCTAGGTTCTAGATAGAACATTGGAAGTTGTAGAACCTTATAGAATCTAGAACATTGGTAGCTCTAGAGCGTTCCAGTCAGAGAACATTCTAGACAGAATATAAGAACATTCCAGTCCTTAATCTAATACCATAGGCCCCACCCTCTACTTCTCTGAAATGGCTTGTTGATATTCGTTGATTAAAGTTATATTTGAATGTGAAACAACCTACAGAGAAAAATTATTGTACCTTTTAATGTACAGATATTGAATTTTCTCCCATAGGTATTGATAAGAGGGAAACATAAGTTAGCATTATCTTAAAAACATTGTTATATGTTTGGGTACTTAATGTTTGTCTTGTTATTTTATTTAAATATGTACCTATGCTGGCCTGCCCTCACTGGATTTGAATGATGTAGTCTAAAGTAAAGGATCAGTTTGATACATATTTTTATGACCTTATTTGGTAGTTATTCAGCATTCCTGATGTTATACAGTACTTCTGATGCCTGAATCCACATATGACTATTCAGTTGTCTGTCTGTTTCCAGTATTTTACCTAGGTGTCAACATGGTACTGTTGCTATGCCTACCAAATTAATCAACCAATGCAGTGTTGCAGTACTACTACAATACATTATTTTATTTGCATGCGTGTAGCATGTGAAATTCACTGATTCAAGTTACATTTCTTCATATCTTTTAAAGTTATGTTGGTAAAAGTAATCTGCCTCTCAATTGAAATGAGATGACTGTCTGGTAGAGCAGGGAGTGCCACTGTGAAAGAGCCAACCGTTCAATGAAACTTTAGCACTGTGTTATGTTCACTCTGATGTCATGGTACACCTGTATCTATTGATGATGTTGATTGTCTTGTCAATTCACTCAACCTGTGGTATTTAGAAAAACAGTATAACAAAATTACACTTGGAATGTTCCAGGTCATGGTGTGCAACAAAAGGGAAGTATTAACAGATGTGAATGGCTTGTTTTAACAGAAAAAAAAAAACTATACATGTGATGTATTTTACCCAATGGAAGGTCAGACATCACATTCCACTGCTATGTAAACTATATTCCTGAGAATCTATTCAATCTTTCATACTCTATCTGTTAACATACAGTTCTCGTCTCCTCACCATCTAGTCGTCTCACTCCCAATAACCAATGGTGATGACCCGTTTTGTTTTTTATCTATATGTTTAATGAATAAGAACAATGTACACAGTAATGTTTCCTTTGGGCTTGCCACAGTGCACAAAGACATGGCTACATGTACATTGGAAAGGGCATTCATTTCATTACTGAAATAACCGTACAATCATTTAAATCCTCAATAATACTGTACGAACTGACTAAAATGTCATTTCTAACCTCACCTAAGTGTTTGTTAATCTGCTTTGAGCTGAGTAAGAGGTGTGTTAACTGACTACCATACAGTTGTGAT